ACATTTGAGCGTTTCTGAGGAAAATTTAATACTCTTTAATACACCCATAGTTCCTGCAACCGCATCGATCAATCGCTTTGTGGTCCTGTCCTGTGCCGAACCAAAGCAGCGCTTTCTAATGGAGGCGCAAAAAAAATGCTTGAAACTCGACACTCACGGTGGGATTATTACCCAATGGACGGGTATTCTCTGTCCGAACCAGAAAAATCGGATCGAAGGACTCCAACAGACATAACTACTTTTTGTATCTGTCAATCTCTACCATTAGATCCTCAACCCATCTAATAGAGTCTATCAAAATTGCGAGGGGAACAGAGAAGGGAACAAGACTGATCATACCAAAAGTTGTCCCTTTCGGAGCTTCTTCAATGAAACCATAGGAACGTGCATATGTAAGCATGAAATAAAGAGAATTCAAGCATCGCCGGAAGGAAACTCAGCGCCCGAAAAATGAACGGAAAAAAACCGTAATCGGAGAAATGCGGGCTAGGTAACCTCTACTAATGTGATGGACCGGTTTTGTTGAGCAACTATGGCAAAAGTCGTAGGCAAGACGTTTATTGACTTTACCCAATCTCGAGGCAGTTGCGATTTTCGGTTACTAAGGGATAGTCCAAGAAATTCAGTTGTCGCTCTTCAGTTACTAAGAGACATTTCAAAAAACTACCCGAGAACTTCTAAAAACTACAATTTCAAAGGGANCGTCGCCAGAAAGAAATTCAGCGCCCGAAAAATGAACGGAAAAAACCGCAATCGGAGAAATGCGGGCTAGGTAACCTCTACTAATGTGATGGACCGGTTTTCTTGAGCAACTATGGCAAAAGTCGTAGGCAAAACGTTTATTGACTTTACGCAATCTCGAGGCAGTTGCGATTTTTGGTTACTAAGGAATAGTCCAAGAAATTCAGTTGTCGCTCTTTGGTTACTAAGAGACATTCAAAATAACTACCCGAGAACTTCTGAAAACTACAATTTCAAAGGGACATCTACGAAGTAGATCGACCTGAATAGAGTTTCTAAGAAGGAAAAAATGAGAAAATGCAGTGGACCGAAAATAGAAAGCATGCCCAGCGACGGATAGCATGCATAGCATGCCACAATAGGCATGTCCTGCAGTTACCATTCATTGATTGGAGGCAAGAAGTGTCTTGCACTGATAAAAAGCGTGCAACTCGTCTACTGCAGCTATTGGACGTCTTCATTCGACCATTGGGTTGGTGCCCATTGGTTGGGTTATACAAGTAAGAATATCATCATGGTGGACGGGTAGAATCAATTCTGAGCGGTTCGGAGCTGTTGTTTCTTGATCATGAATTACAATTACCATCAAAAGCACCAAACCTATTCAATCAGTAGAAAATACGAAAAGGTGAAGAATAGAAATAAGCACTAAGCACTTTACTTTCATGTGGCAGTGCAGAAGAGACCTGATGGCACAGGATGATAGCTCTAAAGATTTTACACAAAAGCCTCTCATACGGGACAAAATAGTTTTATGATAGAGACTGGAGAACTTCATGCTGCCCATCTGGCAAGGAGCAGAACCAGTTGACTTTCATTCAAAGTGAAGGCATCAAAAGCTTACCTATACAGTTTATACACTGAGTTCTTCACAGAAACCACTTAAGAACGACTTCAACTTAATTAACTTAATCGGGCTAGAAAGAAGGAAAGCTTGGCCAGCCAAAAAATTCTCCGCAGTTTCTCTTCGATTAATGAAACCTCTTTGAGGGCTCCGATAATGGGCGAACCTCTACCTGACTTCAAATTAGCACCTCAACAAATGTCCAACGTAATACTTGCGCATTTTCTCCCGAAGCAGAAAAAATAGATGGGGGACCTGCGAAAAAGGCATGTTTTTGTACAGAGAAAGTTGACTTTCAGAAACAACCAATGGATATTATGGAAGACACTTGGGAGAACACTCAGAAGTAATCTGATCGCAGAAATCAATAGGATCTTTTGGCCAAAAGTCTTTTTTTTTTGAATAAATGTTGATGTGATGGACAAAAAAGTGGTCAACTTCATAGGCCTGGGCCAAGCAGAGAGGAAGAAAAGATATTTGGAAGTTATTGAAGCATAACCAGACCCCAAATTATTAAATCAATGAAAAACATTAGTTCAAAACAAAATCGGATGAAGCTGAGAGATAGCAGTACTTTGAAAGAAACAGTCGAACTTGGGCTGAAGAAAGACTTTGATAGGAAGCGTTTGTTACGCTCAGCGGCAAATGAGTGGTGAATGTCCTGACCTGCACTGCCACATCTGCTGGACACGAGAAGATAATAAGAATGAATAGCGGCAGATAGGCTCAATGTCGTCGACCACAAATCATTCGCCAGAAAGATTAGTAGGCAGAGAATTCCCAGACACGACATGATTTTTGAAACGAAGTAAGGATTTTAGAGATTCGCATGGTTCAACGTTTGTAAAAACGCTAGAAACAATCACAGAAAAAGTGAAACAAGTGAAACATCGCATAAAGTGTCAGGTGATAAATGGATAACCACATTGGATGACCACATCAAAGTAATTCTCGGAGAAAGTTGAGGATCTTTCGAGAAACGAAATAAACGAGTGTAAAAAAAGAAAAGGAGGGTAGGATTCAAGAACAAAATGATGTCGCCAGACGTCTATCGCAGCATTCACAGCTGTTCAGCTGAGTCAACCGCAGATAGATGATTCCAACCAACAAACGGCCGTTCTTATTTTATTGATGAATAACTGCGAAGCGAAGAAGTAAATATTCAACATAAAATGAAAAAATACAGCTCATCCCCATGACTCAGAAAACCTCCAAATATCAAAATTGTTTACCGAAAATTAGGTAAATACAAATTCACTCGCTGTCAATGAACTACATCCGTCCATATTTTAGAAAACTCTTGTGCCTTTCTTTCAAGTATCATCAAGTGGTGGACTACGATGAGAGATAAATGGAATTGAAACACAGGACTTGAACTGTTCAGACATCACGTAGATCAAACACGTACTAAAACGAGATTTCTCGCGAAAGTCAGATGTATGGCGCATCCCGGAAGTGCTGAGTCACAACATAAAGTATCAGAAAAACGATCTTCAATGTTCGATTTTTTGAAGTGAAGCGCCGAAGATGTCATGGAAATGATTGGAAGCATCATCAAAAGCAACTGAATACACAAACAAAAACAATTTTGAAAATGCAGATATTCAAAATGACCTGGTGTGGTGATGGGTAAGGCAGTGAAAGTGATCAACAACATTTACTGTTTGCTGATTAAATAAACTTTGAGAACACCCCGATGAGGAAAACAAATCGCTAGCGCTTGATCGATTTCAAACAGCTTCACAACGGGCGCGCTATTTAAGTAGATTAGTCATGTACGTGGCGGTGACCTTCAGAACACCAAAGCTCTCATAGATGGGGTTAACCTTGAAGAGTGCCGAACTCATTTCGAGGTCGTTTCGGCTTTTTGGCTGTCCGTTTATGTGAGCCACACTTGACCACCTCTACACATGGCAAATTGCTCTTCAACTGGAGTGTGACATTTCGTCCTTTTCAAGTTTAAAAACTTGTTTTACGGAAGGCCGATCAAAAGTGCCAAATTGCGCAAGAGCTCCAAAGAGCACTTATTGCTGCCATTGGTCGGCCAAATAAGTTACTTTGAAGGAGAAATAGCGTTCAAACTTATAATTTCTAACAAAAGTGGTGCCATCGCTTCAAGGAGGAATGAGTAACGCTGCCCTTTTTAATCATCCCACTCTTGTTTATCTGGTATAGCAATAAATGGAAAAAAAAGTCAATGCCGATGCACAATGTTGAAATATTACCAGCTATTCGCAATCGTCACTGTGCTAATGAAGTATCAATCAATTAATTTGTAAAAAAAAAACATTTTCTGCCTTCTAACCGACTGAATCCATGGCAGTTGTAACCACTTCGAAGGAAAACCACCCCATAGAAACTAATCATGTACTGCTAGTGATGAGTGAAATAGAATACAAATAAATTTTGCTTCAAGAATGATATCGTTTTTGTAGATAGTGAGGAAAAAGAAGTATCAAGGTATGCAAGTTTATCATAAGAATTTACTTAGTTTTGAGTGGTAAAGAGAGTCTCCTGCCAAGAGCAGACATGATGGGTGAGCAACCAGCTGCTCTAAAACACTTCAAGTGACAGATTTCGAGATGTCAAGATATGGACTGGAGAGCTTTAGACGAGCATATTTTACATCTTGGCTATGTTACAGAAATTTCGAAAAAAATGAGTCAAAAAGGAGTCAAAATAAACCAAAATAAATCCACGGATCAAAAAAAAACTTTCAAAGACATCCTAAAAAGCTTTTCAGCGCATTTAAGGCAATCGAATGAGTAAAATAAGGCAAGAAGCAGCAAAGATAGAGTAAAAGGAAAAAAGTTTTCGAAAACGTAGGGCACGTCAACCCGCTGAAGACACAAGGACGTGAATTATTGCTGTGAAACTGCCATCCCAAAGTTTGAACCATCGAGAAACCAAAGTTGACGATGGTCGATGCACATCGGCTGTAGTTGCAGACTAGGCAACGAAGCTCATCAAATTTTTCATCTAGGCCACCTTCCTTGTCTTTCTTCTTAATTTTATGTAGGTCTGATTGTTTTATATTGTTTGTATTCAGTTCGGAATTGTGCAATATTTATATTCAGATAGTTCCTTTCCGGGTAATTTCCTTCAGGGACGCCCAATATTTCGGTCCTATAAAGGTCCCTGTTTTTTTTTTCTTTGCAGTTTGATCGTTGGCTCAAGCATACTCAGAGAAGTTCTTTGCTTAATTAGTTTGTGGCCACTCGGTTGTCGAGTTGTTTACTTTTGTAATTTGACTCAAATTATTACCTAAATTACCTTATTTTGTATCAAAGCGATTATTTTGTTCGTTTTTGGCGACAAAAGAATCGAAATGTCTTAGTAAAACTTTGTTTTAGCTAGGTCTGAACGTGAAGTCGGCCCTCTCCGAAGTTGGGATTGAAGCCTTTGATAGAAGATTAGATGGAATTTGTTTATTTAATTGATCGACGTGCCTATATTACATTTGTGAAGCAGCCAGTTTACAATTAGTAAATCGTGCCCGAATATTGGAGCTAATTCTGATCGTTGTCAAGTTTCATATCCGTTTGGAGATCAGAGCGAACCTTAAACAGATTATACTTTAGGGTGATGTCCGATGCGGGGTCATCTTTATCAGGGTTTGAGTATACCATCGACAAGACATGGGATGGTCTTCCCATAGATCATGATCCAATCCATGTAAAGATGAAATGGCATTTTGCTAGGCAGAGAGGAAAGCCTCACAAAAGAGTGATCAAAGTCAATTTTGAGGTGAGTGGTAAGATTTTTCGAGTTTTTGAATCTAATGCCACACTGTTATTTGCGCAGCAGTTATCCAGAAATGTCTCCCCCTGTTGCGCAATTGCTTGCTTCGCGCTTACATATTCTTCTTCTACTTTTATTCATAGATGAGTGTGTGCCATTTCTTTATATTTTCTTCTTACAGTCTCCTCTGTTTGATGACCCCGAGGCCCCGCCGGACCCTCCAGGAATTTTACCCGGAGTTCGTGGATTTTTTCTCATTTTTTAAAACTTCCTTCGAGATTTTTATTTTCAATAAGGCGAGAAGTACTGTCAACTGTTTGTGTAAACTTCCTTTCAATTAACTTTACTGCCTTTTTAGCTATGGGAATACGAAGTCGTCGAATTCTTTTTCGCGAACAATCGTGATCAATATATAGAAGTGGAAGTAGGACCACATGGACATTGGCTATGCCTTCTCTTTGATGGTATTCGCAAACCATTCAACAACGGTGATTTTTTAGTTCCTTGATCAACTATTTTACGAAAACTCCTGGTTGTGTCTATGCTATGTGGCTCAATTCGATAATAATGTATTTATGCTTACTAGGTGTCTAGTGAACATCAGAAGAGAGATAGAATTAGGGACGTTTTTGAAAGCTATTTGGTATTCCATGAGCATTGAGTGCAATGTATTGATACAGCTTTGTATGCTTCATAGCTTAGCAAGCTTATAATGGTATATATGTAGTACTGATTAAGTAGATTTGGTTGTAGGATGCCGTTAAATGTTCAGGAGAAGAGCTCGAACTCGAGATCACTAACAAGTTTGTTGGGAACGTATGGCATTGTGAATTCGAAATACCGCTTGCATATTTACCTGGAAGTAAGTCATTCAATATTTCTGTAAATTTAGTGAAACTCGAACCAGCGTACATCCTTAGTTAACATAAGGTCCTGTATAGAATAAGGAATGTCGTTAAAGCTAAAAAATAAGGCCTAAGAATTGTTCCGTGCTAAACTTTTCGCAACCGCCGTTCCATTCCTGACACTGAAAATATGCTGGTGTCTACAGGGGGTTATCGAGCTAGCTGTTCTGTATAGAGGGTTTTATAGCTATTACGCTTTGTGTATCTTTCTCTAAGCGACCGGTGTTCGCAATAATTACCTGCTTTTGTTCCAGATATAACAAAGTTCAATTCCTTTGCGATCCATGGCTCTGGAAAAGATCGGGTTTACGAAGCGCTGAACCCTGTGACCGATGGGAATTTTAAGGTAATTTCTTTACCAGTTTAAATAATTTTATGTTTGGAAATTCATAGAGGTTTTATTTCACGTTCACGTGACTTTTCTTCATCAGCAAAGCTTGGCTGCAATGTTAACTTTGTTATAGATTTTTATTCTATGTTGTGGCAATTTTCCTAGGTTCATGTTGGAGTCAATTGGCCTTAAAGAAGGGAGGAATCATGCTCCTAAACACTGCTGTTTATTTTTCATTCCGCTCCGTTTCACATTGCTCTATTTCAGTAACGTTTGAGCCTAAATCTATCTTTCCTCGAGAACTGAGCAGCGGAATTCCGCCTTCGGTGTCCAGAACACACAAGGATTGCGCATAAAGCTTTGTAGTGATTCTGAATCTGGTTTTGCCAAAAAAAACAGTTTCCGCAAAGAGATGGAGTTATATTGATTGCTATATTCCCTTCTTTCTTCCCAATTCTTATTATAAACATTCTTTCTTGCATTCCCCAATTTCGTGCAAAACGTGAGCGCAGTGTTGAAGGTTTTTTTTCTGGAATTAGATATAAGAAAAAAATGGCAATGAACCTAGGCCTTAGCGATATCACTGCTTTGTATGGGTCTTCCGTATAATTGTGATCTCCATGATGTGTTTTACTTTAGGAGCCCGACTTTCATCGACTGCAATTTTACGGGCGAATCAATATGAACAGGTTGTTGCCAGAAGGTTACGGAACAAAGCCTTTCATTGATTACAAATACGGGGACATTTGGAAGGATCACTACTGATTTTTACGATAATTTCTAATCGTGATATTGTTAATTGTTATCATTGATAAATGATTGTTCTTCAGAGTTTTCAAACAAAACAAATTTTGACGTGGGGGTTATGGGTAGAGCACGCCGTTCTCATAGTGAAACGCTGGTTGCTTTGAGAGCAGCCGGTCAGAAATGTTTGCTCATTCGAGTGCCTGTTATCTCTGTGAAATTTAGCGCTATCAGAAAGCGTGTCAGCATTAAAGCGTCGGACTTTTGCTTTAGCTATGAACAATAAAAAACCGAGGTACGTCTGTTGCTTCCTATTCATAATTGCCTTTTTTCACAGCTTGTCGTGTAGTTCGGTGTTGGTTCGCTTCGTGACGCGATATTATTGGGTTTGCTCGTTTGAAGTGATAGTCTATGTATAGCTTGGCTGCTCACAAGGACAGCGTGAATAGAGACCTGAGGCTTCGATATTGCATATAATATAAGATACTGTAAATCTTTTTGGATCCAACCAAGAAAGCGTGTCAGCATTAAAGCGTCGGACTTTTGCTTTAGCTATGAACAATAAAAAACCGAGGTACGTCTGTTGCTTCCTATTCATAATTGCCTTTTTTCACAGCTTGTCGTGTAGTTCGGTGTTGGTTCGCTTCGTGACGCGATATTATTGGGTTTGCTCGTTTGAAGTGATAGTCTATGTATAGCTTGGCTGCTCACAAGGACAGCGTGAATAGAGACCTGAGGCTTCGATATTGCATATAATATAAGATACTGTAAATCTTTTTAGACCCAACCAAGCATTCGAATTTCGATCATGGCCCGGGAACAAGTGAAAAGGTACCTTGATCTTATGCTGACTTCAAATTATCTGCTTAATGTAAAAGGCGGAGTCCTTGTCCTTGAAATATAGGGCCTTTTCGAGTGCTGTGGGGTGGATGACCTGCTTCGCCGGCGCGGTGATCGACCCCAAAAAGTAGCAGAAGGGAGCTACGGCTACTCTAAGAGAATGGGTTTACCAATTTTCGGGGTAGTTTTCAATCGAAAACAAATGCCTAATGAGAAGTGTCCCCTTTTGGAGAAGGATTCTACTCGGGTCGACGTATGGGCCGAGCTACGGTAGTGAGTTGGTCTGCTCCCACGTTCCCAATTCATAGACTTCTTTAAATCTCGATTCTGAATCTCAGAACCAAACTCGTCGAACCCAGCGATGGGTGCATTCATGAAGGATGGGATATGAATAATCAAGTTCTACCCATTCTGAGTGAGCCATCCAAATTCGATATTCTTTGCTTTCAGGTTACGATGTACATTGCTTTTTCTTATATTTCTTCTCATGGTATTTATAATGTCTACCGTAGCACTGACTGTATGCTTGGCCATCTACGTCCAGAAATGGAAGGTAAGCTGTAAATCATGCGGAAGCATCGATATATCCCGTACTTGTGTGGAATTACTGCAAGACTGGCAAAAAATGCCTCACTCGTTTGGTCTCATTGTAATACATTACAGGATACTCTACCAAAGACAACACCTGGTATGAGTCTTCTTATTAACTCTACCTGGAATAGCTTACCCATCGAACATCCGATAACCATAAACTTACAATGGAAAGAATCGGAAAAGGCTATACAAGTTAAGTTTGAGGTAAGTAGGATGGATGGAGTAGTATCATGTTTCACAAGGTCTATTACTTCTAGAAGTATCTCTACAACAACCCTCCTGCTCCAAATCACACTGCTGGTGCGACTCCAGAGGTTAGCTGCTGGAATCCTCTTTGTTATGCTCTTCAGGTTCTATTCACTGCTTGAAAAATCCCTGGTACCACTGAGTGCGTCACATTTTCATCATCTACTGAATCGTAAAAGTTTCTTGCCGTAAGGTATCGTAAAGTAAAGGTCCTTGCAAACGCTCATCACGAAACCATTCCGTTTCTCTTGAACATCGTCTTCGTCACGTTCAGTTGTAAGCCGATCTTTGCACAAGCACTGTCAAAGTCTGCCAGCATTGGTTCCGCCTGCTCGATGTTCGTTGTTACGAGCACGATGCCGTCTGATAGATAGGGGTTAAGAGGGACCACCGACTTTCACTCGCAAGTCTTCCCATTCCAAATGAGACTTTATGTTCCCTAGAGCGGCACTGGAAAGTTTGAGCAAAATGATATCGCCCTGCGGAACCCCTCTCTTCACGTTGACGATGATTTTCAAATACAATGACGAAACGTTGGTTGTGAGTTGTCGTAGAGCTCACGAAGCATTCTTACATATTGAGTAGGACCACCCTGGTTGCCCAAGGCTCAAGGTACCGCTTCTATCTCGACAGAATCAAGGTCTTTTCTGAGTGGATGATCGTCAGACCTAACGGCATCCTCTTCTCTCGCTATATTTCGTGTTCGTGTCTTATGGTAATAAAGTTGTAAGGTTATAAAAATCCATGCGTTTGTACACATTCCACCTTTCTTACTGTACTTTTATTTTGAATTCAACACTCTATTTTACATTTTTTTGTAGCTGTACAACTACGAAGTGCTGGAGATATTCATTGCAAATGACAAAGATCAGTATGTGGAAATTGAGCTCGGGCCACATCAGCAATGGCTTTGTCTCCTCTTGGATGGTGAACGAAACAGCTTTAATGAAGGTGGGCCGACAAAGTGAAAGGTTTTAGTCCGATTTTCGTCCCAGACTGTTATTGTCCGGAATCTCGTAGTACTGAAGTATCATGAGGTTTTTGCGTGTGTGTCGTATTTGGTCATCACATTCTAGAAGCGTTCAGGTGCATATCTACAGCTGTCTGTATGGAATCGAATCGATGGCAATAAATGGATTGGTGAAGCTGATATACCATTCGCATTCTTACCAGCCAGTACGTCAGCTTAACAAAATCAACAAACAAGCAAACAAAATCAATGGTTCTCCCCTATGATCTGGTTCCAAATGACCAAGTCAGCCATTGGCATGAGCGAGTGCCATAGTTTTCTGCTATCTTCGAGTTTTTATTGAGGCTCAATTGAAGCAGGGTGAACTCAAATATTCACATCACTCGAGTACTCAAGCTTTTTGCTTCGTAGGAAAAGCTTTTGCATATCTTTTCAATCTCCTTTTATTTTCAGACGTGTCACGAATAAATGCCTATGAAATACACAACGAGAACAACACGAGATGGTATGAGGCAATGAATCCTACTCCTTATGGCAAATATAAGGTATACAGGCAACGAGCAGCTCCGCAATATCTTGAACTTTATAACATTTTCGCAGTTTATACGGTAGTCAATACGGTAGCCTAAACCGTAGTCTTTCGGTAAGATCGATGGCATCTATTGACAAAATCGATCATCTTACTAGACCAGAATCAGATTGAGTGATGTGCTTGAGTTTACAACTTATGCGCTTCACTCTGGGTCTTTTTGAGCAGTTCGCTCAAGAAACTGTCTAAGGTTTCGATCCTGCCAAAGGTTAGTGGATGTCAAAGTGAAAACTAATGTGTAGATGTCCAAATGGACAGCGCGCGTAGGGACCGTCAGGGTGCAAACCAAATAGTTCAAGGCATTGGCAACGTTACTTGTAGTGTTTGTCGCCTCGACAGATAACGAGCATGCTGTCACCTCAACATAAAATATACGTAGGGAGTAACCCTTATTTCCCATACTCCATGGTTGACCGCACCCCTCTAACATCCTGACAAGAGAAATTCATCACTGGGAAGGAAAATTGCAGTGGTGCTTTCCATCTCCACTCTCGCTAATAGTGAAAAGTGCCCTTTATACTGATCGTTTGGGTAATTGACTGTGTCAAAATGTAGCTTTGAGTGAGATTGCTTCAGGGCCCTGATTTCCATCGACTTGCCTATTTTGTGGATTTCGATCCTACTCTCATCATTGCCAAGGACTACTTCAACGAGTTTCGACCATATTTGGACAGCAGATATGGTGACCTATGGGCTGGCCATTACTGATACACAACTTGGTTTGATAACGCCTTCTTGCCTGTGTACATTTGTTCTATATAAACTGATATATAAAACGGTAGTTAATCTCTGGGGTTATGGGTATAAACTCAAGTCCTGCTAGTGGAGGGAAAAGTTGCTCGCCTGCGAGTGGAAGGAAACGTTGCTCGATAGGAAAGTGACTGAATAGCAAAATTCCTCGGTCTCAGTTTCATGCAGATATAATGACGTAAATGGTCGCTGAATATCCATAGCAGATAAGCTCTGAGACCGGAATTCAGGTCACTGAAATTTTCATACAGTTTCCTTTGACGTGCCATGAATAGAAAATCATGAAGTCCTCAAGCATTGATCTATCTCGTCTGAAGGATGCGCCCCGCATTCGACCTCTATTCAAAATCGTGGGGGCGGCATGAATGAGGGGCTTCACTACGATTTGCGATGGCCAGCACATTTACAAGTCGGTGCTTTCCCTCCTTCAGATCGGTCTGGTAGCTATTGGTTGATTCCGAGGAATGGAATACTTGGATGGCATGGGGGTGTATCGATGAGAACCACGGATATATCCATTTAAGCACGAAAACATGAAAGGGACAGGCTATCTAAGCTACTAGAAATGCAGCACGCATAACGCTCCAATAAGCCATTCGAGCACCACACCTAGCCCGACTGTTGCAAATTCCGAGCAGTGTTCTGAAGCACCTCCCACTTTAGCGCAAACTCCACCCACTTTGCCTGGTCCGCCTCCCTTCTCATCAAAAATCAACTTCGCCTCTCGTCGCCAATTTTTATTAGCATTTTTTTCTCATCGAACCCATCACGTCTTGACCCCTTTTACGCCCTTTTTAGGTGGGGTTCTGCATATAACGCTTTCTGTCTGTATCTCTTCTTACATGTAGGAACTACCCGTCGTAAATGAAAGCACGATTGAACCGCAGCGTGATTTTATAGGCTGTGTTGAATTTTGTTGCAACATCACCAGCAACAAACGCAGATATATGATTTTCACAGATTCAAAAGCATATGACTTAATGACTTACTTGAGAACGAAGTAAAATGTGTAGAAAACTTCACTCGAAATATGAAATACGGGAAAAATGAAGATTTTGGAGTAAATGTACAGATTATACAACACTTCTGCAGCCACTGAAAAGCTTTTTCTTGGAAAGAAGCATTTCACTAAGGAGCATTTCCCCCTCGACTTTTTCTCAATTTCTTGACTTTCATTTCGGATCTTCTGGTCATTCTCAAAAGGTCGTGCAATTTGCTCAAACTACTTACCTCTCCTGCTTAAGTCTCCCTTTACAGTCTTCCTTTTTGAAGTTGGAACTTCCTATACCTAACATTTATGCCAACTTCCTGGGCTATATGTAGGAGGCTGACCACACTTCTGCTCCCTTTTCAGTCGTTTTCATAACCTTATTTCATCTCCTTTTCTCTTCTCCTCTTACATTGGTTCTATCGACCTCTTCCCTTTTCTCTTTCACTGCTTTCCTGCCCTTCCCAACACTGTCTCTTTCTAAGTTCAAACAATCTCTCTAGTGATAATCTCTCCCTAGTAGAGATTCTTCTGATGATCGAAATGAGCAAACCTGTCCAAGAAGCCATGAGAAAGAGTCGGAATCCCGCTTTCCTCCACACGTCCATGTTTCGTGCTCGCCATATTCGGGAATCGCTGACACTCTTAAGAAATCCTGGTGCTATCAAAAAGTATCAAACTGGAGTTATAATTGTGTTAGCAGACCTTCTGCTGAATTTTGTTCCTTTTACGTATAAGGAAGAACAAGTAGCTATATGCCAGTATCAAGTATACGCTGTTGACAGTCAGAAATACAGCTGCGACTGTGAAGTAAACGGCTTTAGTCCGGTGGCTGAAACTTGCTTTAGAACGAGTTTTAGTAGCAAAAGAAAAATTCGTCAAACATCCTCAGTTAAACTCAATGGAAAAGAACCTGGCAGATTAATCAACCGTTGCATACATACTTCGTGATTAGAGGAATAAGACCTCCATTTCTTGTTTCTCTCAGTGATACTTCATAAGTGAGAATGGGCAATGAAGCTACAATACCAGGCAAAAATTGGATAACCACGGTCAACACCAGTCGTCTGCCACGCCATAACTGAAATTCGTCTTTTATAAAAGAATTGTACATCAATACCATTATGCACACATAAAGGCATAGGTGTAGTGGCAAGTGGCACACTATCACGCACGCATAGCTACGGATTCGAATCCCGGATCGATATCCACCCAGGCCAATAAGGCCTTCCATCCCTCCGGGTTCGGTCAATTGTTACCGGATTCGTCCGAGAGGATAAGAGCACTGACAGTATTTGTATACATTGGCTGGCCACCGTCAGTCATTGTATAGGCAAGATACGCATTCATTACACCACTACGATTCTGAACGGAATTGGAATGCGGGGTGCATTCCTCAGGCCGGATTGACTAACGCTGAAAGTCTTTATCCTTTTATGTGCATACGGTAGTCATTAGTTGAGTAATGTTATTTGCAAGAGACCTCCTTCGTGGCGTTATTAGCAAATGTACGGCGCATTCTTCTTCCATTCAGGATCGCGTAGGGTTTTAAAGGGGTTCTGGTCGGTACAATAACTTCTGGTAGCCAGCCGATGTCAGCGCTTTTACCCTCCCAGACGAGCCTGATACCGATTATTCGGTCACGGAGAGATGAAAGGTCTCATTTGCCTGGGCGATACTCCTTCCGGGAACCAATCTTCTGACTACGCATGTGTGATAGTGCACCACCTGCCACTACACCATCACCATTGCATTATAAGAATAGGCAGCAATGATTGTCAGATTAACTCAATGGATCCAAAGGACTATTGCCAGCTTGCGGCCGTCAAAAATAAAAAATTTTTCTCGACGTATTTACAAAGCAATCGTCAGATGCTCACATGAAGTTGCTGAGGAAATAGAATGGCCCAAAGTCTATTTGTGGCTAAAATTGACGTTGAAAGCACTTGCATCGTACCTTAAGTATAAACAGCCTGATATACAAAGCGTGAGTGATCATCCAATCAGTCTAGTAACTGAAGATAGAGAAAAACTTACCAGTAGCCCAAGCTGTTATTATGTAGAAATACACGTATGGCTTGCCAAGAGTCAAGTAGACGCTTTTCATCCATCCCCATTCGGGGAATGCACCACCAAAATAGTTATTAAGAAGGGTTACTGTAATAGCGCTTGAATCTTATTGAAAAATCTGTAGCCTTCCAGTGTTCACTTACCGATGTCGACAATTCCTGCAGTAATACACAGTGTATAGAATGATCCGGTCAGGTTAGGAGCTTTTTTGATTTGAGCATGAATCATAAAAACCACTAGCATCACATAGAATGGTACAGTAATTAACCAATAAAGAAATAGAAGTCTCTCGATAACTAGCGATACTTGAGGGTTGAGATGAATTTTTGCATCTGACACATTCGGAGATGCCATACTGACGCATAATTATACCTTGTTTACATAACTGCCAAGAATGTCAGATGGAGTCAAGATGTCCCTTCAGTTATTACAGTAACTACTGGTACGTATAGAGAATGAAGGTCTGCCAAATAATCATAAGTTAAAGCAAGACTCGGCTATTCGACTACTTTTTTCGCGTCATTAATACAAAGTAAAGGACAATGTCAGTTCCTTAGCGACAAGATTGTGAAATGTACTTATCACAATTTCAATTTCTTGCTTTGAATAGTTTCAAGGGCAAAAACGTTTTTGAAGAACTGCCTTTCCAGTGTTTTAATGGCACCTATATAGGGACTGATCTCCCTGCATTCCAACTTAAAGGCACACTTCACGATAATTTTGGGTAGTCCAGATTACGATGAAAATTGGACGACAAGATCGAATACAGTGCGATCAAGGTGGAGAAGCAGCGTGAATCGGTGCTTCTAAACTGAAAAAAAGGCTTCGAGAAATCGTTAAACAGGGGCTGGACGAGCATGAGTTTAGAAAAATGAAGAAAAGTGGGGCGTTTGGACGAGCTATACAATGTGTCTCACTATGTACGTGTGGGTCCTGGTGCGAATAAAAGACAATGGTAAGCGAAAATTGATTCACTTATAAGCATAAAGTATGGCATAAAACATCGCCTCATCACTCGGCGAAAGCTGATTGTGTGTGGGTCCTAGAACGAAAATTTGCAAT